GCCTTGGCTCCAGAGCAAGTGCCAGGATAGGCGCCAAAGCTACACAGAGAAACCCTGTCTCGAAGAACCAAAAAAAAAACAAAAAAAACAAAAACAAAAATTGCTTCCCAGTGCCCATTCTCCTCTAGTTTTTTAGCCAGATGCCCATAGAATCAAAACCGTAACACCCAGCTTCCCTTGCAGCTAGGGTTGTCCGTATGATTGAATTCTAACCAATGGAATATAAGAAGCATGTACAACTTCCAGGAAGATACTATAAAGGGAAGGGACATGTCCTACTTCAGGATTCTTTTGTCCTTCATGCTGGTGGGAGCTGCAGAAGCCACCTGGGCAATATGATGGCTTTGGAAACAGAAAGCCAGCAGATCAATAAGAGGAAAGACTGGGATCCTGCAGCACACAGTCATTGCTTTATCCCAACAATGCTTTTCTTCCAGGGTTCAAGCACATGAGTGAAAATGTACATTGAATATAAACCAGACATTCAGTGGTACAGTCTATCCTCTGGTAAACTCCCAGATAGAGCTCCCATCTAGGTCTGGGACCCCCACCTGGAAACAGCAGAACACTCCTCACCTGGCTGATTTGAGGAAGTGACTCCCGCAAGGGACTCCTGTTTTGTGCATGTCACATCGTCACACCAGGGGAGGGTGAGGAGCAGAGTGGCCTGCAATGTGCAATGTAGAAGGAGAAAGTAGGACTCTCTACCTGGAACACCATCCCCAGTCCCTGGAGACCCAAAAGACAACGCCTTCAACCCATATGAGCGTCCCGGGGCATGGGGCAGGCTGGGGTGGCAGCTGCCAATGGGACAACGCAGCCCCACTGCTAAGGAGCTCCTCTGAAGGGGCAGTGGCTGAGTCAGCACTCCTTATCCCCCAGCCATGCCCTCAATTGGTCACAGGAACTGGCAGAGGCCAGGCAGGGCAGCAGAGACTTAGTGGAGGGCAAACACAAGCTGGGGAGGAAAGGAGCTGAGCTCATGTAGCCTGAGGAAGACAAGGCTCAGGCAATATTGAAGCCATTTTGGGTAGGTCAGTGAGATAGACAATCACTCTTCAACAAATCCCTCACATTAAACTCTGAGTGTGGCCCCCACAACAGTGAGCAAGGACAGAAGGACAATTTCTCCTCTGGTGGAAAGGAGAAATGGTCTTCATTAATGTCAGTGTAATCGGGAGAACTTTGGTTCTGGGGGAGAATTCTGGCTGCCCAGGAAAGGGGCAGTTGTGTGAAGAAATATGTGGCCATGTCAGGAGGGGAAGGCACAGCCTCGATGGTCCAGGTCTGAGACCACCTTGGCACAGACCTGCAGCCAGCAGGCTTCTGGCTGTGAGGTCATACAAGGAGGCTGTTATGATGTGGAGTCTGAAAGCCACTTTGAACAAATCACCTAGCTACTTTTACCTTTCTCCTGTTACCACATACACGCGCGCGCACACACACACACACACACACACGAAGGGGGTGAGAACTGACTCGGATGGTATATGGGAAGACTAGCCATGCCTGCTACACACGCACACATTCACATACGTGCATGCATGCACGAGCACACACACACCCACACATTGGGGGTGGGGGGTGAAAACTGGCTCAGACAGCATGTGGGAAGACTGAGCGTGCCAGCTTTGAGCCTGGCATCCAGGACGGCGTCCACAAATATTCTCTAATGGGGCTGCTATTTTTTTTTTCCTGCCTGGGCAGAGGTTTGAAGGAGAGTGCCTCTGGGTTCAAGAGTAGAGCTCCCTGGCTCCACAGTCCCAGGAGGCTCTGATCAAGATTTTGGGATCTGAAGACTGGGGATGACCTAGCTGACCAATTTTGACCAGGGAAACCCTGGCCCACACCTACATACAACACAATTTAGACCCTCGTCATTGTAGAAGGGGCTTTGCCTTGCCCAGCATGTGTCCCAGCCTCACGACTCCCGGTGGCCGTGCCAACATCTCTGACCTATTCTCGGTACCCCACCTGGAAGCAGGCAGTGGCATGAGCCTCTCCGGCTGACTGCTACCTCACACCTCTAGTCCCCTGACAATGTCACATGCTGTGGGAGTTGGCAGGGCTACAGGGACCATGGATGCCAACACAAACACCATTCCTTTGGAGGGAGAAGAGTCCATGGGGGTTATTTTTAACCTGTTGATCAGAGGCACAGCCTTGGCCCTAGGAGGCCTGGGGCTGGGGGCTCTGAAGGAAGCAAGCTAGCTGCCAGGCACCCCTCAAGGACTCCCAAGGGCACAGGGCCACAGAGACCCTGAAGTTTACCTCACTTTGATGGAGAAGGGGAGAGGAAGCCGAGCTTCGTAACATGCCCACTCTTGCCCACTGCTGTCAGCTGGGGCAGAGTCCAAACAGGATGAGCACTCACCTAGAGAGGACTCTCTCCACTTCCTGTGGACACACCTAGGGAAACTGAGACCTGAGAGATGCCAGCTCTGGCTTCCTCACCTCCGTCTGCACCTGGAATCTGACATTTCAGCAAACAAACATCCAAAGCAACCTCCTAAGGTCAGTGCTTGCCTCCACATCCAGGTGGAGCCATGCCTTCTCGCTCGGCCCTCTCCCGGTTTGTCCTGTGTCAATAAGCTAGCCCCCAACATCCTCAAGATGTGGTCCCCAAGCCTAACTTACCATGCAAGGCATTTTCTAGGTGCCCAGGCAGCGCCCCCTAGAGGCCAATGGCAGAGCAACGGCCAGCACCAACATGGCTGAAGGCCCAGCGACGTGCGGGCCAGGACGTGCCTGCGTGGGGGGAACAAGACCCGGTTTCTGCCAAGGGCCTGGTGCTGACTGCTGCTGAGTCTGTGATCGCCAGAGGGGGTGGTGAGTAGACAATGGACCCCATGGTCCGGCCTCCTGGCCTTGGCCCCTTGAGCTGGGCAGACAGCCGCCTCCACTGGCCCCTCACGTAGCCCACGTCCTGCCTGCTGAGTGGCCCTTATCACCCAGTACGTGTCAGGAACCCATATCCAGGCTGTGGGGAGGTAACCAGGAGCCCAGGAGGAGTAGAACCAGTGGGAAATACAGCTTCCTGTCCTTCCCAAGGTCCTGGTCCCCCCTGCTGGTCTCCTGTTCTCAGGAGACCTTAGCCACCTGGCCAGGTCCCAACTCTCACTGACTCTTCTCCTTTAGGATGGAAGGGGTCGAATGAGGAGAAGAATGTGGATACCCCAGGCCGCCAGTTCACACATGCCCGTCATCCCTCATAACAAGGCTATGTATGCATCAAGTCCTCATCGGTAGCCCCTTTATTACATGGAATAAGTTGAAAATCTCAGCTGCACAGCTGGTAAGATCTCCTACTCCGAGGGTATGGTGGCTTGGAGGTCTGACACAGGTGCTTCTGGGCCAGTGTCTCCTCGCCAGTGGAGCGGGTACTGTGACAGAGTGAGGAAGTGCAACCGTGCGTACATGCACGTGTGTGTGTGTGTGTGTGTGTGTGTGTGTGTGTGTGTGTACACGCCCTGAATAGCATAGCAAGCCCCCCCAACCCTTCCCTAGCAGAGCCCCTCACATCCTCCTATCTCTGCCTGTCCCACAGAAGCCCATAGTCTGCCTCCATGCCGAAGTCCAGACCCACAAAATGGCTGCATGCTGGCATTCAGGATAGGCTACAAGACGCTGCTGTGCCACCCCTGCTCTGGGCAGCCCCGGAAGCACACGCAGCTCATGTTCTGTCGTGTAGCCTTTCAGGGGCTTTGGGTTTTCACTGCCTTCTGCCCAGGAAAATGAAGCACCTGGAGAGGGAAGCAGACAATAGGGCCAGACGACAGTCTGCTCACAAGGGACAGTCCACAGTCAGATGTGAGGGCCAGACAGTGTGCTCACAAGGGACAGTCCACAGTCAGATGTGAGGGCCAGACAGTGTGCTCACAAGGGACAGTCCACAGTCAGATGTGAGGGCCAGACAGTGTGCTCACAAGGGACAGTCCACAGTCAGATGTGAGGGCCAGACAGTGTGCTCACAAGGGACAGTCCACAGTCAGATGTGAGGGCCAGACGACAGTCTGCTCACAAGGGACAGTCCACAGTCAGATGTGAGGGCCAGACGACAGTCTGCTCACAAGGGACAGTCCACAGTCAGATGTGAGGGCCAGACAGTCTGCTCACAAGGGACAGTTCACAGTCAGATGTGAGGGCCAGACGACAGTCTGCTCACAAGGGACAGTCCACAGTCAGATGTGAGCAAGGCTGTGTAGACCTGCAGCCCAGGCCAGTCTGCTCCCAGGAGCTGTGTGACTTCACTGGTC